AGTTTTCTTGAATGAAGTCTCAGACAACTAATGCGCAGGCAAATACGAACCCTTAGCGTAAGAATTTTTGTAATCGTAGGCGTGGTTCGTTGTTTAGTCGTCCCTAGATCGTTTCTCCTTCACATCGTGCATCGTTGGCTCGGATAAGCAGGCGTAATGGCGGAGTTTTCAGTTAAGGCTGCTTTCATAGTTCGCATCGGTGCGGTCGGTGCCGACGGCGCCGACCGCACCGACAGTGTGAAGAGCGTCAATATGCGCTCTGGCGCATGACGCGTGCGCTGGGCGCAGATGGGGGGCTCCGATCGATGCCGTTGGTTTTTGTGTATTTCTTGTGCTTTTCGATGTTTTTTTGCGCCGTGTTGCTTTTATTCGTGTGTTTTCTGTTCATACTTATTCTTTTATGTTTGATTCATACTTTTCAGTTGTTCCGCGGACGAGCGACTTCGTAGAACCCCGTCGTACAACCCCAGGTGAACGGTGGCTATACCGGGTGAGTTCATCATAAGCAATGTTGTTTATTCGAGTGAAATCTATGTCATTAGAAGTTGCTTTTTCTTCGGTACGACTTTCCTGCTGGTGTGCGAATGGCCGCCGGTCTTGATAACTTTATTATCCGCACACCAGCAGAAAATCGTATCGAAGAGAAAACGACTACTGAAAACATACACTTCACTCGAATAAACAAAATTGTACATGACGACTGACTGACAGGGTCTTGAAGCCACGTTCACACGGGGTTATATGACATCATTCGTCCGCGAAACAACTGAAAAGTATTAATCAAGACAAGAGAATAAGTATGAGCAGAAAACACACGAATAAAAGGAAGACTGCGCAAAAAAAAATCGAAAAGACAAGAAACACCAAAACCAAGATTATCGATCGGAGCGCGCCATCTGCGCCCAACGTACGCGTCATGCGCCAGAGCGCGTATTGACGCTCTTCGCACTGTCGGTGCGGTCGGCGCCGTCGGCACCGACGCACCGACCGCACCGACCGCACCGGCGCGAAGTATGAAAGCAGCCTAAGACGGTTATTCAGCAGTGAACAAGGGCTTCAGTCCGGACCATCGCTCTCTGCTGGTGATTATTTTCGTAATGTCCGTCGTATAGTGAACTCACGAAATCAGTGTTTCATTTCTCGCCTAGTCAATGCACGGTTTGATGTAGGGTCGTTTTTCGTTGTTGTAGACTGTGGAGTGTGGATTCAGCTCCTCGAGATTGTCGTACTCCGCCAGTACACCCTCACTAATTTCGATTGGCCATTGCTACAAAGGATTAAAAGGATAAAGGATAAAGCATTTGCCGTTGATCAATCCCTTTTTGGGATGCGGCACGCATTCTACTTCCATTTGTACATTCGCAGTGGCGTTTGAATGCGATGTGGCCTATACAATGACTTGCGGGGGCCAGCCGATGTACAAGTCAGTGTTTTTATCCTCCCAGACAAGTCTGGTACCAATTAACCGACCCCGGAGGGATGGAAGGCTTGGTTGGCCCGGGCGACTCACGACCCAGGATTTGATCCCCGGACCGCTCGCGTGGTAAGCGCGCCACTTGCCACTACACCACTTCCGCCGCCAAGAGTAATAGTTCACAAAAAATCAAAGTGTATAGCAAAAAGTAGTCACTACGCTTTCATATGTCCTCGCTCGAATGAACAAACAAGTATCCCCGAAAAGTCGAAAGTGTTTAGTGAGGTGAATGTAATTCTGTGCAACACTCCGATTGCAACAATCTTATAAATCCAAAAAGACTACAGTAAAGTACAAAATTGTTTACCTTTCAATCTTCAGTCCCGTGGTGTAAGTTCAGCAATGCCGGCACGCCCAAATTATGAGCTAAATCTGCCATTTCATTGTGTGTTGCTGTTAATATTACAAGTATTTGTGTACAAGTGCAACAATGAATCGGCGCTGGTCCCCGCAACCGGCCAAGTAAGTGTCACTTTTTCTTAAAATACTTGAAGTAGATCCATTCTTAATCAAAATTATGGGTTATAATGTTGTGCAAGATTATAAACTTTTTCGGCATAACTATGAAATTTCGAATTGTTTCGACATAAGCTTAAAAACTAAGAAGGTGGGCCAATTTTCAAAGCTTCTTAGTTTCTTTGTTTGTGATCGAATAGCTTCCAAATTTCGCCATAATGATACCTATATGCTCACAAGTAATAAACAATAGCTAGAAGAAAAATTTCTCCACGGGGAAAAATTCAGGTCCGAAAGGGTTAATTCACACAGTTTTGAGATGCAATCAAGGTCTACTCTAACGAAAAAATAGTGATGACAGCAGTGTGGCAGCAACATCCGCCCCATAACTTGGCCGCATTTCACCTTTGGGATGGAGAAGGAGCGTGTTTGGACGAGTTTCAATGGGCCGTGGATTTCAACCAGGGTGAATAACGGTCGAGGAAATCCTCGACCATAGCTCTCTACCATGCGAGAGTAGTGCCGAGAGTGAACATCCGCGCCGGAGAGCACAGACGGCACGGCATGGCGAGGTGAATGTCCGCGCGAGAGCAGGGTCAAGCGAGGCGTCGAGGAAAATTCGGAAATACGACCCCCCCCTCCCTCTGCCGAAGGCCGAAGTCCATGAAACAACCCTCTTTAAAAGCCGAACTATGAAAAAGTTGTTTAATTCTCCACCAAAACTGCTCATAAAAAAGCCCTGCTACCCCATCGTCCCAAAAAAACTCGTTTAAAAAGTATAAAAGTGAAAAAGTCAAAGAATGATCATTAATGACGAGTCCTGTCAAACGAGCAAACGAGAAACGGAGCAAAAAACGTCAAACTAGTCACTAGAAATGGCGTACTATGACAACACCTCTTCTTTGTTTATTTCCTCCACAAGACTTACCAAATTCTAGTACTACACAGATTATGGTTCTCAATTTACACGTCCCCCTTTCGCTCAAAGGAAGCCTTGTAAAAGCCTTCGCCAGCTGTGTGTTGACTGGACTTTGGCGTTGACCGTGGAGCAGCTTATTTACTATTGAAATTTGAACAAATATTCAAATGATTATAACTTTCTTCAAAGTTAACGAATTTTCAATCTGAAAGCTGATTTGGGAGTTTTGTGAAGAGCTTTTTCTAATCAGTACTGAAATTAAATTACAGGAAGTTATAAGAAATAACAAATTTAGATCAAATAACGAGGAAAATTCGAGACGAGCACGAGTTTTTACACTTTCCGGAGCAATAACTTGCTTCATTTCCGTCAAATTCAAAAAGTTGATACGTCATACAAAACTAGAAGATTTTCTCTATCAAACGGTCGCTAAAGCAGCTTCATACGTCCAGTACTCAAAAATGGCCACGTTGAGGATTTTTGCAAAATTAACGAGGAAAATTCGTGATGAGTGCGAGTTTTTACGCTTTCCAAAGCCATAACTCCGTTCAAACTCATGCAATCTGGAAAGTTAATACGTCATCATAAACTAGAAGATTTGCTCTTTCTAGAGGCAACTAAAACTGCTAAATACGTTCACTATTTAAAAAATGGCCACGTTGAGGATTTTTGCCCGAGTACCGCCGAAAGGTACTTTTTCGCAGGAGCGATTACATACTGAAGTAGGAGCAGATTCAAAATCCTCGTGCTTTTCTCTCTGCAAAAAGTGTAAAATTGTTTAGCGGGTCTCAACTTTAAAGGTTACATGCTTGTGAATTTGACGCTGAAGGCTGCGTTTCTTGTTGAATAGTGTACTCCTCTCTGTAATTTAACATGAACTCTTTCAGAACCCTCTTGATTCTTCCTGAATTAAGATTCGTTATCAAGATAGCCGTAGCTGAAGCGCGCGCAACCAACTGGGCCCACTCTGGGATGCGCCGTGTGCTTCACATCTCGTTGGATTTGAGGACCTACTTGAAAGATAAAATATCCCTAGAAAACGTGCGAATTTCGGATCCTTTGACTTGTGTGGTGATGAAACACTAAAGTCACTAAGAATTGCTAAGCGGACACCTCTAAATCACGAAGATTTTGTGTGGACGGAATCAATTGTTATTGGAAATACTCTGGCCTGGTATCGATTCGATCCTTAATGTTTGTCCTCCGACGATGATCCTACTGTATCAATCGGGCCCGATCTCTCCCCAGCGGGCCAATACGACCCCCCCCTCTGTGACATGTCGAGGATTCCTCAACGCACGCTTGACCCTGCCAGAGATCGTTATATCGGCCAGAGAATCCTCGACGTGCCGTTGAGGAATCCTTCAAGCGATATTCACCCTGCTTTCAACTGCCAGCCTTCAGTGACATTGAGCGCAATGCCACCGTTGTCCAACTGGGCGTGCTCTTACTCGGTCAGCGTTGGTATCCAACGCGAGGAACGAAGGCGTGGAATTGCGGGTCAAGCAGGATTCTGACCACCTTTGTCGATGTACTTCAAGCCGCAAGTGCACATTGCTCCGTCCACCTGCTCACCACGATCGGGGATGGATCCGGTGCACGTGCCGAATCCTTCAGACGATGCCTTCAAATAGTAGGTTATTTTGTAATTTTCTTTCGCTTTGCAACTTGTATTTTTCATGTGCCTGTGGAACATGCAATAAATTAACAAAAAACAAGTAATTATGATCGTGGTAGGACAACTACGCGATCTCAAAACGTCACGTTCATTATTATTAATTTATGCTGAAGTTGGTCAATTATACATAACTGAATGACTTATCCAAGGAGCAACGGCATTATATACAACAACAAAAAAGTAACACAGGTTCACGGGCATTGGAGCAAGAATAGAGCGATGAGCGGGTAACAAAAAAGGAATGACTATAACAGCGCAAGGAAGACGACTGATCAAAAATGCGTGGCGCAAACATCTCGAAGCGACGCGGTCATTGCAGTGGTAATTACAAAAGGACTGACTGCTGTAAATTCAGATCTCGAGCCACTCGACTGGTCTTTGCCTGGTTTTTCGCCTAACTGAGGAAACAGATCATGCTTGCAGACTAGTCGGGCTCGGAATTTGGAGCCATCGGGAGCAGGAACAGCGGTATGTTAGCGATTGTCATCTTGTCCAATGAAAAATTCACTACTTTTCGCCGTTTCTGGTTTCGTTTCTGGTTCCTCGCTAATAGGAATGATAACTCCGCTGTTGGATTCGTCCTTCTTTTCTTCCTTAACCAGTGGTTGCAGTGGTTGTGGAGCTCTTCCTTCCTCGAGGTGTTCAATGGTGCTTCTCTTTCGGACCGTCTGAAATGAAAGTTTTCAAAAGAACATTTCATGTTTCATTTTCATATGTGATATCGCCTTGCAAAATTCATTGCCGGTTACCGAGACAAAGAAAAAACTTGACGACAAGATCGAGCATCGAAAGCTACATTAAAAAATCTAGTAAAAATTGAACTAGATGCTTATCTCCGTACCCTTTGTGCCATATCCTCTTCGTTTTCTTCAAGCACATCATCAAGAATGTGATGCTGGAAGTCATGCGGAGACTTCAGATTCGTCGATGACGACGATTTCCGGACATCCTTCCCTTTCTCTAGGGATGTGGTGAAATCATCCTCTGAAATTTCGAAATGGTTAATTCAAAATCGCCCACATAATGAATGTCCGTTTCAAGAACACCAGGACTGCGCATTTCTCAAAACTAGCTCGTACTTAAAGGCACGGGTCGCAGTCGAATCGGGGGTCATTTTGTTCGAAAAGGATGCAAGAAGTGAGAAGAGGATCGTTATAGGCCTTGATAAATTGACCGTGGTGCGACAAGGAGTCACAGCGCTTCGAGTGGAAAAAAGGAAGTGAGCACGTCGTAAACGAGAGGGCAGGTATACTACGATTGAAGATTTGCGCCAGCTCCCTGATCGTGGGCTGCTCACTTTAACGGTCGCCGCACTTCCACCACGGCTTCGATCAGGGGTCCGGCTAGCGAGTTAAGGAGAGAATTCGCTTCGGGATACAAACTGCGACCCAGTGTGACCTTTGACCTCGACTAAAGGATCGCAAAGACTGTGTTTTTAACAGATTCTGTTCGTGTTCATGACTACGCATGAAATGGCGAAAGGTAGCTCAGAGGAGGTGCCGTGTTATTTAAGATAGTCGAAGATTGCTAATAGTCAAGATCATTCCTCAGTTTCGTCTCTGAACGTTTTGTATCTCAATAAGTCAAAATACATACGGCTATTGATGAACGCTGCGTTGGTGAACGACTTTTCCGCCACAGGTGTGGTCTCTCCGCTTCGTTGCGGTCCAACACGCGACAGATCCAGAACCGGCAGATGGCCATGGGACACAGCCTTTCGTGGTTTATCGTCGTCAAATAGCTCGGAGGGGTCGAGTGGGGTGTAGCATGACACGCGAACAGATGGATCGACATGGTTTCTCATCCAAAAACAATTTCTGAATGGCCATATTGATAGCTGTGTAAAGACCAATCGTCTCGATAGTGGGCGTCGTCCAGAAAAAATCTGTGAGGTAGATTGAGATTTCTAATCTACACGGCGTGTTCACTCCACTGAATCCGAAGTGGGCCAAGCACGGTAGGACGGTGGGACACTTCGTTTCCGTGAGACGGCTTCGCTCGTGAATAGCTAAAAATAGCGGAGAAAAATCCGCTTAAGTAGATTTCCGCGTGATTTCAGCCAGAGGGGCTAGTGGTATGTCAGTGTTTGTGTCAGGCCCTCACGAGTAGCGTGGCTGATGGGTCACGCGTAGGGCATTGTGAGAGCGCATGACATGTCCGTTGGTAATTGCGCGGAGCGCTGACTGATGTATCGCGCAATTACGAAACACCCAACTCAAAATTCGCAAAGAAAATCTATTACACTGGCGAGAAAGCGAGATCCACAGAGCAGTTCGTCCACCCGCCTTTTTTTCGAGATTAGAGGGCCGCTCAGGCGGGATAGCCGGATGGGTTAAGGGAGTTAGACTCATGTCTGCGCCTCCGCAAAACTGGCGAGTTCGATCCCTGCCGAGAGGCTCTAAACCATGCCTTGCAAAAATTGCAAAAATGGTTCTAGTACCAGCGTCAGGCCCAGGTTGACAGGCCGGCTGATGAATACCCCAGTCACACCAATCATGTCTAAAAGTTGTCAAAGAATCAGTGATAAAGCTAGGACGTCACCCGGAAGTGGCGCGCAGAACCCCCGCCCGAGTTCTGTGGTCAGTATGCGAGGGCTACCGAGGAGTGAACGGCCTCGGCCAAAGAAGCTAGTTCGAATAGGGACTCTTAACGTGGGATCGCTAACTGGGAAGTCCCGAGAGGTTGCTGACCTGATGACGCGCAAGAATATCCAAGTCCTATGCCTTCAGGAGACGCGATGGAAAGGTGCTAAGGCCAGGGAAATCGGGGAAGGTGTCAAGCTCTACTACAATGGAGAAGACACCAAGCGGAACGGCGTGGCCATAGCGGTAGCGGAGTCGCTCAAGGACTATGTCTCCGCTGTGAACAGGATCAGCGATCGGATCATGGCTGTGAGGAATGGACACGAAGTAGGGGTACTGGTCATCAATACTCTCCGTGTACGCACCGCAAGCCGGGTGCCCCGAAAGTGATAAGGACGAGTTCTATCTAAGCCTGGACGAAGCCATAAGGTCGGTTCCGGAAGGCGATTACCTGACCATAGCAGGTGATCTGAATGGCCACGTCGGCAGTGATAGAAAAGGCCTAGAGAGGGTGCACGGAGGTAGAGGGATAGGATCGAGGAACGCTGAGGGAGAGAGGGTTCTGGACCTGGCTACGGCCCACGACTTGGCAGTCTGCAGCACGTTCTTCGCGAAAAGGAAGTCTCAAAAGGTAACCTACAGCAGTGGAGGGAGACAGACGGAAATTGACCATGTGCTGGTAAGAAGATCAACCCTCAAAACTGTGAAGGATATCAAAGTTCTACCCGGCGAAGATCTGGCTCCCCAGCACAGGCCCCTCCTGGCAGACATTGCAATAGACCTCCCCAAGAAGACAAGGGTAAGAACCGAGAGGAGAATCCGGTGGTGGAAGCTGCACCAAGCGGAGAAGGGTGACCTCAGGCGAAAGATAATGGAAGTCGGTCTCCCAGATCCTAACGGGCCAGTACAATGGACTTGGGGCAACGCGGCTGAGACCATCCTGCGATGTGCCAAGGAGGTCCTGGGTGAGACGCGAGGTGGACTCAGAGGAGACAAGGCAGCGTGGTTCTGGAACGAGGAGGTCCAGCGAGTCGTGAAGAGGAAGAAGGAAGCATACAAACGCTGGCAGAAGAGCCGAAGTCCCGAGAACTTCGCTGCCTACAAAACCTGCAAGAGGCTTGCGAAAGGCTGCCGTCGCAAGGGCAAAGAAGAACACGGAAATGGACGCCCTGTACGAGAAGTTGGAAAGCAGAAACGCAGAGAAGTTCGTCTTCAGGCTGGCTAAGGCCCGGCATCGTGCTACCCAAGACATCAGGGTGGTGAAAAGTGTGAAAGGCAGAGATGGTGTCATCCTAAGGAAGCCAGCCGAAGTCAAGAGGAGGTGGGAAGAGTACTACAGTGCACTTCTGAACGAGGAGTTCCCCCACGAGAACAACTCACGGGCAGAGGCCACAGCTGGTCCCATCGCACTCTGGACTGAGGATGAGGTTAGGTGTGCACTTGGGAGGATGAAGATTGGGAAGGCGGTTGGCCCAGATGGGGTGCCAATCGAGGCATGGAAGGCGCTCGGTGAGTACGGGATAAGATGGCTCACACGATTCCTCAACAACATAACTGCGGAAGGAAGGATGCCAGATGCCTGGAGAACAAGTACTATCGTCCCCATCTTCAAGCAGAAGGGTGACGCGATGGACTGCTCCAACTACCGCGGGATCAAGTTGACTGCTCATACAATGAAGCTGTACGAGCGACTGGTCGACTCGAAACTGCGGGAGCTGGTCCCCATCTCCCAGGAACAGTTCGGGTTCATGCCCGAAAGGTCTACGACGGATGCCATCTTCATCGCAAGACAAGTGATGGAGAAGTATCGAGAAAAGCGCCGACCCTGCTACCTAGCCTTCCTCGACCTGGAGAAGGCGTTCGACCGGCTACCACGAGCGGTACTGTGGAGAGCGCTTAGAGAACGGAACGTGCCAGAACACCTGGTCTCGCTGGTGAAGGACATGTACGACGGGGCTAAGGCAGCCATACGCACCCCACACGGCCTAACAAAGAGGTAAACATCACGGTTGGGGTGCATCAAGGGTCAGCTCTGAGCCCGTTCCTCTTCCTCCTAACACTAGATGTCATGGTGAAGGGGCTCATGGAAGGACCACTAAAGACCATCCTCTACGCTGACGACATCGCCCTGATAGCGATAGCAGAGAAGAACTACAGGCCAAGGTGCAGAAATGGCAGAAGGTCCTGGCAGAAGGGGGCTCCGGCTAAATGTCAAGAAGACCAAGTTCCTGAGCTCCGAAGAGGGTGCAGAGCCGATCGTGGACGGACATGGCGAAAGCATCGAAAGAGTGGAGGACTTCCGATACCTTGGGAGTGATCTGGCGGCCGACGGCAGTGTGGACCAGGCAGTAAAGGGGAGGATCAACGCGGCATGGATGAAATGGAGGGAATCCACTGGAATCCTCTGCGACCGAAGGTGCTCTAGAACGCTCAAAGGGAAGGTGTACCGAACAGTGGTAAGGCCTGCGATGCTCTACGGCTGCGAGTGCTGGCCCCTGAACAAGAACCACGAAAGGCAGCTTCACTCGGCCGAAATGAGGATGCTGAGATGGGCCTGCGGCTGGACGCGACTGGACAGGGTCAGGAACGAGGATGTCAGAACGGTCATGCAGACTGCCCCTGTCCAGCTGAAGGTGAGGGAGCAGCGACTGCGGTGGTATGGGCATGTGCTAAGAAGACCACAAGGCCACCCAATAAGGAATGCAATGGACTTCGAAGCGCAAGGCAAGCGACCGCGAGGAGCCCCAAAGAAGAGGTGGAAGGACGTAGTCAAGAAGGACCTAAGCGAAATCATGGCCACTGCAGGGGATGCCCTGGACAGAGCGAAGTGGCGACGACTGATAAAGACAGCGGACCCTGCGACTGCGCGGGACTAACGCTAGGGAGAAGAAGAAGAAGAAGAAGAAGAGGACTCAAGGAAGAAGCAAATTGTAAAAATAGAGACACGTTCGAGAGGATGGCAGAATGGTTGGGTGAATGGGGTTGTGGTGATCATCTTTATCTTACAAGCAGCCCTTCTGAAGTTAGAGATAATCTACTTTTTTGGACACTATGCGGCTATTTTTCTCCATTCTAATAACTCATGAAATTTAGAGCTGAGAAAGCTACTGGCATTTGGGTTCCATAGGAAAAGCTTACCATGCGACGTGGACTTAGAGACAGCGATTGCAGCCTAAGTGTTATGCGCGTTATTGTGCCTGTGGCAGTAATTGTACTCTCTTGATCACGCCGCAAAGTTTGGGAGAGTAAATAGGACATCGAATTTACAGTTAGCTGGAGTCAGTTTCAGTTATCCTTGAGTTGGGGAGCGAGTTTGACTGTAATTCGTGAGCGGTATCTAGATATGTATATCAAAGGAGCTCACCTTTCGACTTTGCTTTTGAAACTACGGAACACCTCTAAGGATCCAATTGAGGGCCGGCTTTGACGATGTTCCACGCTGAAACTCAACGATATGATAAAACAGCTGCTTGGTGGAGGAAGAGTCAGAGAACGTACTGGCTGACGGGAACCACGCTGACTCTTCTCCGCAGTGCCGCGGTGTCCGTGAGCAACGGATCGCGATCGTCGAAATGCGGCACCATTCTAATCTCGTGAACATAATCAGGTAACCTGGAAATGGTCTTGAAAGCTCAGAAAAACCATTAAAGGTGATATCCTTTGCTCCTTACCTCACTTCACTAACGGAACCTTTGAGTGGGTTGTTTGGAATCCTTGCTGTTTGTTCGGAGTATAATGGTTCAACCTCATCATCCCAGAATGGATCCTTTTTAAGATCAGGTGGGCGATCATAGCCCTGGTCCACCATCATTAACACCATCTGAAAAATGACATTAGCTAAGAACAAAGGAAAAACCTAACTTCTTCATAACTTTGAGAATAATGATTGAAGGTGAATAAGTAATTTTCTGCAACTGCCCAGATTGTTTTTTATTGATTTTTTTAAAGAATACGTGTGACTTGAAAACGTGTCAACTCAAAACGTATGGATATTTTCCCGCCATGTTCAGTCCACGGAACAGTGTCAATTCGTACTGACACTCAATGCTCGCAAGAGGTTTTGCACTCTAATCCTTACTTAATGGCACGATGAAAAGTTAGCTTATTGGAAATAAAGTCAGAGGTGGTCAGTGGAGCAGGGATGAAGAAGAAACCATTTGAAACGGCCCGAAACCCGAGAAATGGGACCCCTTCCTTGCCCGTTGATTTGCGCATTGATGCGACTCTCATCGCTGTGCCCTCTTCAACACTACGCTCTCTCTGCTATCTAATCACTCGCCACGTATAGACCTGCGGCGAGTGATTAGATAGTCGGTGGGCGTACCCCGCCAACCGCGCCATGCTAGATCGCCGAGGTCAAATCTTTCGCTGCCAATTGCGCGTCGGTCAGCACCCTCAGGAGGTCCGCCTGTCTCCCAACTATGCAATTTTCCCCTTTTTGACCTTCGTTCTTATCGTGAATTCCTCCTTTAAAGGCAGTCCGGGATCGACGATGTGCTATCACACTTGTAAGTGACAATGGAAATGTGAAGATAACACCAGCATAGAAAAAACGGAAGAATTCGTCAATACAGAAGCAGAACTACGAAATAGCATTGATTAAGAGCAGGGTTTGCATTTAAGCGGTAAGCTCTGCATTGCTGTGCGGTGGAGCTATATGGACCCTCCGGGCGCGTGGTGTCATGGGATGGGAGATGAAAAACTACCATCAACCAACTAAGGGGTTCGTGTTTAAGTGAAAGGTCGCACATTCAGGAAGAAATTCCTCGCGTGCGGCGGTGGGGGTTGTGAGTGGTTTGCTCTGCAATAAGGGGGGCTACGAAAAACTCAAACAACGCGAGGCTGGTTTTGTGCTTCACTGCACTCATGTCCACAATTGGAATGCAGAACGGTCCCCTACCGAACCGAGGGAGAAATCGAATGAAACTCCATGTTTGCGGGTGACCCGATAGCTCTCCGGTAAGAAGGTTCAGATCACTTGAAGGAATAGAAGTGTAAATTTGTCGCGAGTGGAGGAGCAGGCAGTACGGAGGCTAGGTGGAAGGCGAATGAATAATACGTTCACCCCTGTCATATTGCCGAATTTGGTGATACGAAGCAGTAAGCACAACAATGAACGAAAAAAAAAAACGAAGAAAAAAATCAGAAGTAAGCAAAACTTAATCTCTAATTAATGATCCCGTGAAAGTTCTATGAAGAATGGTGAGTTAAAAGAAGCTTACAAACTACTCACAGTGATATTGCGATCGATGAGCGCGTTACACTCGAAATCGTCGTCATCTTCACCGAAACGGATTCAGCATTGCTTCAGCTACCTAATATTTGGCTGCATTACATACAAGTAAAGCGTCAAAAAATCCGCGGTATTCTCTTTGAGGTTTCAGAGGATATAGCGTCCACAGAGACATACTTAATGTTTAATTATACTAAATTGTAATTGAGAACCCACGAAATTTTAATTCACGATAGCAGTTTCCTGGAGGAAGCGAGAAGTCTCCACTTCACACTGGTTTGAATTTGCTGTCTCACACAGTAGACCACCTCGTTTCTCTGTCGGATAACGCCTTACCATTCCCAACACGAAGTGGTACAGAAGAACATCAGCATTAAGACTGGTTCAAAGGTAACTTCTGGGCTTGCAAAAAATAGTTCTCTCGTCGTGAAGGAGATAAAAGGATAGCATGTTTCGGTATGTAACGGGAGATAAAGTTTGATATAGGGATGCCTCTTTCATGGGCAATTAGTGATGCATTTATGGGAGCGTTTCTGTCATACGAAGCTAGCGATGGGAAACACAAACAGGCCAAATTAGGGGCAGAAGATATAAGGTAGCTAACACTTTAGTCCGATTGCTCCGTCATTCCGTCACCAGCTGTGCATGGGCTGGTCTACGAGTGGATTTTCTATCACCCCGCGTGCTCGTTTTATGCTCGGTTCAAGAAACTCAAAACTGACCTTCATCCAGCCCATATAGAAAATGAACTGCAGCGTAGACATTATAGGAAAATAAAGATCGACCTGAAATAATGGCCATAACTGGACGACATTCTGTTCGGCTTCATTTTCGACCTTCTCCGCCGTGATTTCAAATGAAAAAAGAGCTGAATGCTGCCATTTTCTCAAAGGTAACCCGTAATTCTTCACCTCTGTTTTGTTATCAGCTATGTCCGAAACAATGTACTGCCTAGACAATAGGCACACGATGAAGTACGTATGAACGGCAAGGCACACCAACTGTGGATACATTATCGGAATAGGCACCCAGTCGTAGTTGCAAATCCACGCTAAACCGGTGCGGAATTTTTTGATCTCCTGTAAAATCATAGGATCTGAATTGCGGGTGAGAAGAGACAAGCTTTGTTTCACAAACATACTTCCTGAACTACAACTTGGTAGTAGTCGCTTTCAATCAGCCCT